GCATCACAACAGATTAATTAAGACATGGCCACAGCAGATATACCCCAAGACATGAGGAGAAGACTAAAAAGGCGTTGGATGAAAGATCTCATTCCTTAAACCTAAGTAATTGAAACAAGTCAGGGAAGAGGTGCTGCTGAGTGTAAATAAATTATATATAGCCAAAAAAAAAAATATAAATTTCTTTTTTAAATTTTTCTCGGGAATCTAGCATAATTTGGAATATTTTGTTGGTAGCTACGATTGACCATAATGTCAAGATATTTTATAGTACACGTTCTTGAATGACGGCTCCATAGCAACACCATCTTCCATTATCGACGCAGATGACTCATCCCTGAATCACATCTAACCTCGTTGGATCGATCGTTGCGTGGAGGAAAGCGGCAACGCACTTCGGTGGCGAACTGACCTGCCTCAAGGCCAGGTTCAGCGGAGGACGTTGCACCTGCGGCCTATATCGTCCAGGTGAGAGGGTCGGGGGAATTAACGCCCTCGAGTGGGCGTGCACATCTCGGCCTAGAATTCGGGTCGCTCCGCGGGTTTCCTTATAAGTCCGGAGCCTGTTCCCGCCAGGATAGACTTGTAAACAACGATGACCTTAAAAAGTGGGAACCGTATTTTCACGACGGTCGAGAAAGTTCTCTGGGTCTTTTTATAGGGAAGAAACTTTGAAAATCTTTGTTGTATAGGGAACTTAACATTTCATATTATTATAATTTCAGTTCAATAAATACAAACGAGCTTCTATTTGGCAAATGTGTTATTAGAATAACCAGCGATTATTTATTATATATATATATATATATATATATATATATTTAAACTAAGGTGTGTTCTTTAGAATAAATATAATCAAAGAATAGAATCAACAACTTCTTCAGCAAGGCGAAATTAATATTATGAAATATAAATTATAAATAATAGCTCATTATAAACATAATGAAATGCTAGACCCTCGCTTACAGTATGCAAGTCCAAATTTTTGTTTCTGAGATATTTTTATCCAAATTTTACATAAAACTCGATATCGTAGAAGTAAAACCCTTCTCCCCTTGACTATCCCCACCAGGACGATATGAGTCAGTCCTTTCAGAAATGACGGAGGGGAAACTCTTAAAAAGCAGGACAATTTAATTTTTCATCGAACAAATTAATGCGACATCAATAATGAATATCTAATGGAGGACTCTTTAAGGTAATATTCAATTATTTTTAATGAGTAAAGTTACGTACATGAAAGGTTTTTTTTATAAGAAGAAGTGTATACTTTTATTGTATAGACTTGTATAAATCTATGTGTATTGAAATCTTTATGACATAGATCGTTAGATAAGTTAACTATGTGAAATAGAAAAAAAAGTTGTAAATGTTAAATGTTAAGTAATAATGATATTACAATTTTTCAGACTTGAAAGTGGCCCTTAGTATGGTCGAAACGTCGTAATAAATAGCTAGTATATAAAATGTTGGCGAATAATGGCCTAATTTATGTAAAAAATAAAAGATATCATTTGGTTTTCGATACTATTTTTTTCCTTTTTGCCTCTCTAACAAGACGTTGAGTTAAGATGAAATTTTGAATAAGATCCCATTAAAAAAAGGATGAACATTCCTCTCGCTTACAATGTACAGGTCTGATTTTTAGTTTTTGAGGTATTTTAATCCGTATGAAAAAACACTTCAATTAGTCAACTATACCTGAGCGTTATACATCGGAGATCTGACAGCTCAGTCTAACTCGCTCTTTCCAAAAATTTAAAACATTTTGTAACACTTGCCAAAATCAATAGTTATCCTAATTTCACCATTACCCTTCCTACGATAATTATCTTGATAGGTAATTGATTTCAAAATATTTTTTCCTTTCGTAAATTTCGAGAAAAAAACATCATAATGAGAACAATTAATAACTGTTATTTATACAATAAAATGGCTGAGTTAATTATTTCGATATGCATAACAAACATGCCGAGTGTAAAATACCTCTTTGTCGCCCTTTTAATAACGAACCTCGTATCCAGTTATTTTTCGGTAAGAATCGCGTAGACTAGAAATAGTACTTTGCACAGTTCCTTATTATTTAATACCAGCTCTTTTGTTTAAGAGCTGAGACTTTCATTTAGAAATTTTATATAAGTCTTAAATTAATTCAGAATACTTTCAGTTGGTTTTATTATGTTTTCCGGATCCACTTTATAGTTCATTTCCTTTCCCTGTGAATAAGCTATCATCATCTCCCACGTAAGTAAAGTAGGCACATCTCGAAAGAGAGGGTGGAGAGGAACAGGTAGTAAAAAACCCTCATTAGCCTAGAGGTAGCAGGTGAAATTCCGAGTGACCTAGATCGGTGGCCTGTAATTGGTCGAAGAACTGGCCAATCAAGTTTCCTTAGCTATCTCGACCAATGGTGTCCCCTTTGCCCAGATCCGCCTAGGTCAGTATATTCCTCTGGCCCCGCCCCCTCCGCCAGCGGCCAACCCATTGGTTACACCTTGGAAATTTATTATCATATGGGAACGGTGTGAGGGTGAATTAGGTTAATGGAACAACGGTATGGAAAATAAATACATTAGCGAAACTTTCATAATTAATTAGATTTCCACCTCTTTGTTCTACTTACTTATGTAGAATGTTTATAAATAATAATGACAATACAAATCTCTGATTGTCAGACCTCATTCATTTATGATTTACATATTTGCTAATGAAAATGGAGTTCCTTTATGCTAGGTCGTTTCCTCCACTGTTTATAATTTCATTAATAATTTAATCCATTGTTATTTGTGAATAATAGAAATGTTGCCGGACTAATGAATGGTAGTAAAGCTATGTTTTTAATTGCCTTTAAAAAGTATTGAAGTTTTTAACATCATATGTGATCAAAAAAGACTTTCGGTGAATGAGAGATTACATGGTGGAGGATGCGTTAGTTTTTAATCAAAACATGTGAAAAACTTTATTTTTTATTTCAATAAGTTACTTTTTGTTATGAAATGGTCAAAGGGGAGAAGCATAGAACTTTTAGAGGGAAAACGCTAACATGAATATTTGTGAAATTTCATTCCTAGATATTTTGAAGAAAAATATCGGTTTGTGGTGGATTTTAATTTTTTAAATATTTATTAGGGTGATATAAGGTTAATGCAACCACAGGGCAAGTATGGCCACGGCTGGTTTTTGTCCTAAAAAAACGATTATTTTTTATTAAAAAAAACACTTGCTTTATAATCTTTTAACATTTGACCATTAAACTTTGGCAATTTTATTTTTGAACTTCAACCTAGGACAATCAAACTTTTCATTTTTATAAAGTTTAATGTGTAGTGTTCAGAAATTTTCATTATTTTAGTAGTGTATTAATAATTAAAAAAAAAGCTGTCATTTATATATCCTCTTATGGAGGGTCATAGATTGAGATAGACATGAAAATTAAAAAAAAAAAACATACAGAAAATGATAAAACTATTCTAATCGCAGGATATTGTAGGCAGATAGCCCTAAATACTGTTTGCTGAGCGGGATTTCCATATTCATAATAGCTACCTCACAGTAACAGTTTAAAAATGAAAAAAAATAAATAAACCTGGTTGCACTTACCCCACTTCATCCTATATTTTTTATTACTTGAATGATTAAATTAGAGTGATTTTCTAAAACAAGATACTTCTTAATGATTGTAAAAATGATCAATATAAATACTCGAAGAAAATGCATCATTACAATAAAGTTTAAGTAGCGAATGTAAAAAATCGCTGTTTTGAAATTATTTTTTTGTCAATTGACTAGAAGTGTTTTAGCAACATACATCTCGATTATTTGAAAAAAATAAATAAATTAGCCTGAAAAATCGCTGACTTCACACTCGTTAGTTTAACGTGGTGAAGACAACGTAGTAGATGTCTAAATGATTTTGATTATTAGCTGTATTCTAGAATACTACTAGTTCTTGTTGTGGTTCCAATATTTTTATATTGTAACATAAAGAAATGATGAAATGTTATATCATATTTATAGTTTTGATATGATACAACTCAAAGAAATGCATTTAAAAGTTGGTCTTACGACTACTAATTTGTTATTTTAAAGTTTTATCATCTTATAAATTTTAGATATCCAAGAATTCATGATTTTTTAAAAATTTATATTCCGAATACTGGATTTAATTTAGAAAGAAAATATGTTTATCAATAATTTATTATTGAATAATTCTCAACCATATTTTTGAAAAATGCTCAATTTTATCAAAGAATAGCTCAAATTAATTAAAATACATATCCAGCCATTATCAAAATGACACCAACACTTTAATTGTGATTTTACTGATTAATTTATTTGGGATAGTCTAATTTTTTAATTTAATAAAATAATGTGATTAACTATAATGCGATTTAGTTAAAACAAGAACATATATTAGAAGAAATAAATAGAATGTTAAAAATTTTTTTGTAAATTCTATAAATATTGATTAAATGTGTTAGTAGTACGAAAGAAAAGATTCAAGTAATCTTTGATTCACATAAAAAAAATTTTTTTTTGAAGGGTGGTATTTTTATAACATTTTTGTTAATTCTTTAATCCAACATTTACTTGTAAGTATAAACAAATATTCAAAGTTAATTTTTTAATAATTAAACTTGCAATGTTAAAATAGAGATGAATTTTATATTACTCATCTTGTGAACCAATGACGCAACATTAAAATTTTGTAAAAAGAAAGAAATTATTTGTATGTTTTATTACATTAGATTGTCAGAAAGACCTTTTTAATCGAACTGACGTATTAATATGTTGTATGAAAAATTGAATGGATAGAAGAATTTTACACTATTACTTTTTAATGTTATTTGTCTACAGTTACCTCATTGTTTTACTGGGTGAGCGATATGGGAATGATTTTGTAGAGAAGTTTTGGTCTTTATATTGGTTAATTTTAGTTTAAAAATATGAAATTTTTTAAGTAAAGGATAGTTATGTGGAGAAGAGAAAATGATGCTTACCTGCAGTCTCCCTGAGGGCAAGATCGAGGCTGAGCTGTCCATCCTGATCAGGGGTGGTCGAGAGGACGACCTCGGACCCGGGGATAACTTCCCAACGGACTGACCTAGACTTGACGAAGGACCACATCTTCTGTGCGATCAACGAACCGACGGCTTCCTCCTCCGTTTCGAATCCTCTTCCCGAAGAATCCAAGGGCTCTTCGGCGACCTGCCTGGTCTGGGAGATCTCTAGCCCGTCTCCGAGAGGGATATCCGCCTTCTTGAGGAGCCGGTTGACGTAGGTTACCAACTTGAGCATGAGGCAGGCCGAGGCCTCCCTCTTGGAACAGCGGCTGTTGAGCTTGTCCATGAGGGACTCCTCGTCCTTGCCGACGACATTGTCGGCCGAGTGGGAGTCCTGGAGGGGGACGGCTGCCGCGACGGCGACGAAGAGGACCACTAGGAGTACCGACCTTACCATTCTGACCTTGCTCTAGACCCTGAGTGTTCACTGCCAAGGTCCCGCCGCTATATAAAACCCCCTACCCCACTCCCGCCGCACCAGCACGCTCCCTCTGCGTCTTCCCTACTCCCCCCCGCCTTCATTTTCACTTTTTATTTGAATTATTACTTCTTCTCATGATACCTATTATATCTATGATTTATCGGATTTAAAAAGTAAATAAATAAAATTAAAAAATAACCTATTACTTGTAATAATACCAGGAGGAGTATTATTTACCGAATAAAACGGTTAATTCAAATAATTAAAAGTAAAAAAATTAACTTTTATCCTAACTGATGTATCACAGTTTTTTTTTTTTTTTTTACTTTTATTGATACTTGCTTTTTTAAATCTAATAAATATAAGTTTTCATATAACAATTTTTATAGACCATTAACTTAAATAGATTTTAATGAAAAAAATAATATGCTTTTACGTTTTTACTAACAGAAAATATTATCATTACTATGATACATATACTATATTAAACATTATAATAATTTTCCATACATTTAACATAGCAAATATTTACAAGGTATGAAACAAGATAGTATGTAATGTTAACTCAAAAACATTAAAGCTTTTACTTTTCTAATTAAACAATTATGACTAACAAATAAAACATTGCATTTTATAATGTTCTCCAAGTTAACTTGAAATATTTTCTGTGATCACCAAAATTTATTAGTTTTCTACTGTGGGTACTGAACAGTGTAATAACTTAGAACGTCTATTATAATTTGTATTTTTTTAAACTTTCATTTTAGAGGCAATAAATAAAAGTTTAATAAACACTTTTTGATGACATTTATATAAGCATAAAATAAAAATTAATTTAGAAATTTTAACATTTAAAAAAAAAAAAAACTTTTACCTTTTACCTCTTATTGCTAAAAGTTTTTAATAAACAGTTGAAGTTTAACTTATTTGTAAAAACATAACTGTATCAACCTCTGAATAATAGTTACAAAAGTATATTAAAACATTTTTTTAAAATTATTATATTTAAAAATATATATTTTAATATAGTTGGTTATTCTATTTCTAATAACAAAACAATATAGTTGATCTGTAGGTCCTACTTTATTTTTTCTTTCACTATCATTTGAGTCTTTCAGGCCATTTTCATGGGGGGAATATATATATATATATATATATATATATATATATATATATATATATATATATATATATATATATATATATATATATATATATATGTATAAATATTCTTTTATATATTTATAAATTAATTTTAATTAATATACCTATAATTATTATATATTTATTTTTTAATTGATATTTAAATATGTAATTCCTGCTACACTGTTCCTTAATTATGGATTGAGCTCCTTAAATCTATATACAATATACGCATATATATTTGTATGCATATTATTGACTTTCCTTCTACATTCTTTATTTTATCTTTCATATAACATATTTGATCATTTACTTCATTATTATTATATAACTTAAGTTTTAAATATGGAAGATCGAAAATTGAAAATATTTTAGTTTATTTGTGATTTCAAGGCAGATTCAGAGAAATTAAGTGTACATTACATTTCATCGGGAAAATATCGAAAAAGCTAAAAAAATAAAATAAAATAGTAAAATTTTTAATAATAGATAGGATGATGATAGATAGCACCACTATATTGGCATTTGCATACCATAAACATGAAGGATATTAAAAATATTGAAACATTGAAAGGACATAGAGAATATTGTTGTCAACTATTAGTAACAGACTCTCTTTATTTCCGAAATTTATTAGATGTTGGTCTAAATATATATATATATATATATATATATATATATATATATATATATATATATATATATATATATATATATATATATATTGAGCAGTTACCACTTGAACAATTAAAGCTATTTCGGAAATGTAATATTAAAAAATGTGTACATACTAACGTATTCATACATACTAATTATAATTTGTGTGTGAAAGGTGATTTTTATTTCCTAACCGAAATTTTTTTCATCACTAGTATTTATGTAAAACTGTATCACTCTGTGAGTGATCGTTATTTTTAATAGAATAAATAAACATTAAAGATGGATTTAAATTTTTATTTAGAAATCAGGCATGATTTTTAAATTAAAAATCAAATATTACAATCATTACACGATTTTGTGAAAATAATAATTATTGGTTTCAAATCCTGTTTTACAACTGTTTTAAGTTTTGGCAAATAGATCTCAAACCATTCCTTCATTATTCAAAAGCAGATATCTTATTTTGTTTAATTTCGGGAAGTTTTTCACATGTTCAGTACCTCTTATTATTAATATCCAGTAACAGATTCGATTTGCCAAAATTTAAACTTCCATTTGTAGTCAGATTATTAATACTATCCCTGCACCTTAGAACTGATACTCTGAATGATGAATTAATAATTTTATATTCCTTCGTCGTTTACAATTCAAAACGTGTGTACAAATTCCAATAGGCTGTATTCTTGCCAATAATTTTCCGAATTTGAACTTTTTTTTTTCTCGTTTTGTAGGGCATTTAAAAACCTTCCGAATTATCTTGGGTATCATCAAAGCTAAATTTTATACCTTCTGAGTTGTGAGGAAATCAAGTTTTCTGTTTAACTTTTTATGATGAATATATTTGAATCTTCCTAATTTAAATATATCATTTTAGGTAATCACATAGATTATTAAATGTTATAATTGGCGATGTTCTTTTCCTGAGAGAAGAGGTACACATGGAATGAAAAATAATTACAATGTTAAAGAAAAAGTTTGGCCTTTGTATCAAATCACAAAAAATGTGAAGGAATTGATAATTTTAGGAATAAAGGCTTCAAACGGAAAAAAAAACTTTTATTTTTAAAAAGATTCTGGATCACTGCAATTTTTATTTTTCAAATGAATGTTTTACAGAACTTTTATTTTTAAAGAACTGTTCTGTCGATTTCGGTAAAAAATCGATCTAAAAAATGACTTTTATTCTTAGCTATTCTAACAAGCGACGCATTAGAATCATGTGTAATTCAATTAAGATGAATTATAACTCTAATCTAAGCTCAATCTTATATATTATTTCTAAAAGGTGTTTATTTTTGTCGGTACGCTATAACTTCGTCAATTCTTATCAAATCCAATGATTGACCACTCATTTAGAAGTTATTCTTCTCCTTCACATGCAAAAAATAGTCCCATCCCTCAGAAATTCCTAGGAAAAAAGTTATGGAGGAAAAGAAACTTTATTTGTGGAAAACTCAAAAAGTTGGCATTTTATTCTAGATTGTATCCATGATAATTAGAAAGATTACTAAATCACTTACAAAACAAAAGAAAATCGTAAAAATATGACAATTATTAACAAAGATACATTCCATTAGTTTTGGTATACTTAATAATGTCTTCCTGTTTAAAGTCATTGGATTTAGGAGTAGAATAGTCTACTAATTTTTTTTTCTGGATTTTAAATTATCTTTTATTTTTTCTTAACGACATTTGGTTGTTCTAACATTTTATTTTTTTGTAATTAAAAATATCCTATGATCGGGACATTATTTTATCTGCATTACTTTTATTATCTTTCCAGTCAGCGTTTACAAATAGGTCCTAGCAAAGCAATTTGTACAAATATTTGGGACTGTTATGTTTAATAGAATATTGTAATCGACTAAGGAAAAAATATTAATTCCTTCCTTGCATAATACATAGGAACTACGTATTTCCATATTGTTTTGCTATTTCTTCACTAAACAAAATTTTATGCGAATTTTTCGCATTGGTCAACTAGTTAATGTTTTTTTCATTTAACGGAACTTTTTTTTTTAAAAAATTAAACTTTTACCACAAACCTGGAGCTTTATTACGAAAATTTTCCTCGAATATTTTTTTAAAAATGTTTCACAGAAACTGTTAAACTTTATAAAAATATTCCAATCCCTGGTAGGAATCTTTAGTTTAAGAAATATTTTAAAATACCTAGGGGCAGATAACATTGTAGGTATTTCAATTATTTATTTTCGTCCATTAAATGCACTGAAAATAAGAAAAGAAATTACTTACTTAATCATAGATTTTCACAGAAGCAATTATATTTTTATGTATGTTCTCAATGAAATATACATAAGTTGTATGTCATCATTAATAGGTATAACATATTAATAAATATAAATAAATTAACAATTATAAATCTAGTCCAATAACATTATTCGCTCCTCTCCAATTACTACTTTCTCGAATAAAATTAACATTCATTACATTTCGTTTTTAGTTTATTATTTTTTTCTTTGTTCATTACTGTGAGCAATATTTCATTCAACCATAATATTCATTATATATATACAAAAGAAATTTTTGGTGAAATATAACTCGATTGTCTTGCTGGACATTTCACTTTTCAATTTTCGTGGGAGAGTCGAATTCCTGACCTACTTGTGTCATCATTGCGTGTAAATCTGAAAATTAATTGTCTCTGCCTGCTTTCTACGCGTAAGCAGATTTAAAAGTAACAATTCATATCATTTTTAAATTTTTTTTTTTGCAACGAATGTACGTTTGATTTTTCATGTTATGGTTGACCTTAATGTTTATTAATTTATTATATGTTTGTTTCAATGTTATTTGTCTCATTTAATAATACATGAAGAGACTATATTTTTTTTCAGAAATTAAAGTGGATTGAAGTTGTTAGGAAATCCTCAAATTGTCAAAATCATAGTAAAATTTATATATTTATTTTTTTAGTCAATAATTAAAAAACAATGAAAATTAATTAGGGTCCTCTTTGTAAAGCATTAATAGGCCGTGGTACAGACCTTTTTTTTATCAAAGTATAGTATTAAACCTCTCCTAAAACTTTATTGATTAGCTTCATCTTATTATAATTAGTGTTTCCAAAACGCGAGACCGATACGAGTCTTGGCCATGGTCTTGGACTTGTGCAAGAGTCTCGCAACAGTGTTGCAGTTACTTATTAGTAT